AGTCTCCTGTCAGATCCAGAATTACTGACATTCACCTTGGGTCAGTTTTGAAAGTAATCACTGCAAACCAATTTCCCCCAAAGTAGGTAAGATACTAGCAGAGCCCTAGCTGGTTTGGCTTAATGGATAGAGCATCGGCCTGTGGACTGAAGGGTCCCAGGTTCAATTCCGGCCAACGGCACACGCCTGGGTTGCGGGCTCAGTCCCCAGTAGGGGACGTGCAGGAGGCAGCCAATCAATGATTCTCTCTCATCATTGATGTTTCTATCTCACCCTCTCTAAAATCAATAAAATATTTTTTTAAAAGATAGTAGCAGAGAAGAGATGTCAAGTGTCAGGAAAAAAACATTAATTTTATCATTGCTCCTGTTCTAGATAGATAGATAGATAGATAGGTACTATACTTTTCAAAATAAATCTACTTTTCCATGAAAATTTAAGCTTTTGTTCTTTTTCGGCCCACATAAACCCAGACCTTGTTTATTTGACCCCTGTTAGCCTTTGAGTTTGACATCTTGCTCTAAACATACCCCCCAGTCTTGAGTCCTTTCTACTTTTATAAGTAGCAAAATATTCCACATGGCTGTATCCATGTTAGCCCAAAGCTGGAACTTACCAGTTACAGAGGCACCTGTTCCTACAACCCTGTTTAACCAGTGGCCTGCTCTCTTTTCCATCCTACCGACAGTCTCAGGACGTTTTCAGCCTCTGCCTTCAGGTTTCCAGCTTTCACCAGTTCCTCTGCGGAGGCGTGTTTAGTACCCCATTAGCACCTCTTTGCACCTCAGTGTGAATCCCCTAATCTCTTCAAACTTCTCCGTACAAATCCCTCCTCCTCACCCGGCCCAGCTCCCACAGCCTCGCCATCTGGGAGGCAGTGAAGGAATTAGCAAAGGAGCTGGGCCCATTCCTCAGGGGTGGCTGCTAGCCTCTAGCGGTATCAAGCCCCATTTCCGCCATCCAGTTAGAAAACTCCCACCGTGGGCAAAAATTCAGTCACTCCATGGCCGACTGTCTACAGCCTTTCAACACCACAGAATGAGTCCACACCATTGCCCTGTCCACTGACCGGCAGGGTGAACACTTCCTCCCTTCCTTCCCACTAGTCAGCCCTCAGCCCCCCATGCCCTGGGCAGGTTTAAAGGAAGTCACCAAATAAATCACTCCTTTTTTAGAGCTTTTAAAAAAAATATTCTATTCTCAGCATTTTTGAACAGTCAACAAAATTGAATGAGCTTGACAGTGAACCTATTGCCCAATACCTAGATGCAACTATTAGGTTTTAGCCTATTCTTCACTTCACATAACAATAAATTTACTTTCTTTTTTTTAGTCTGACTTTATATTTTTCAATATATTTTTATTGATTTCAGAGAGGAAGGGAGTGGGAGAGAGAGATAGAAACATCAATGATGAGAATCATTAATCAGCTGCCTCCTGCATGACTCCCACTGGGGATCGAGCGTGAAACCCAACCAGGTGCCCTGACAGGGAATTGAGCCCTGACCTCCTGATTCATAGGTTGACACAACCACTGAGCCACACTGGCCGGGCAACATTAACATTTTATTATGCATGTTTTATCAAAGACTTACCTGTCTCACCCATCCTTCTATCCGAAATTAATCCATATCATTTTTTTATATTTTTTATTTATTTTTTACAGAGAGGAGGGGAGAGGGATAGAGAGCCAGAAACATCAATGAGAGAGAAGCACCAATCAGCTGCCTTCTGCACACATCCCCAGTGGGATGTACCCGCAACTAAGGTACATGCCCTTGACGGGAATCAAACCTAGGACCCTTCAGTCTTCAGGCCACGCTCTATCCACTGAGCCAAACCAGTTTAGGGATTAATCCATCCCATTTTTGTGCTCTTGAGAATAAACTGCACCCCTAAACTCATCAGCATGTCTATGAACCAGAATTCAATATTTGCTTACAATTCTTTCTTTCCATGTAAAATTTATATACAATCAATGAGTTTTAACACATGCATACACCCGTGAAACTCAATGAAGCTACCAAGATATAGAGCATTACCACTACCCCTACAGTGCCCTCAGGCCTGTTCTGACTCAGTCCCTGCCCGGACTCCACCCGCTCCAAAGGCAGTCTTCTGATCTTTTCCCCACTGTACATTAATTTTTTCTGTCCTGGAACTTCATATAAACAGAATCATAGGGTAGGTACTCTTTTTCCTCTGGCTTCCTTTTCTTAGAGTACTGTTTTTGAGATTCATCCATGGTATTGCATGCGGCAATACTTCCATTCTTTTTGTTGCGAAAGAGTATTATCATATGATGACATTATAAATGGGCCATAGTTTATTCATTCACCTGTTGATAAAGACTTGAGCTGTTTCCAGTTTATGGCTTTTATGAATAAAGCTGCCATGGTTATCTGCCTGTAGGCCTTGAGGCACATCTATGTTTTTATTTTTCTTAGGTAAATATCTAGGAATGGAGTTGAATCATAGGAGAGGTGTATGTTTACTTTTGTAAGAAACTGTCACATCTTTTTCTGAAGCAGTTGTACCATTGCTCATTCCCACACAATGTATGAGGCTTACAGATTTTGAGCCAAAGAATAAAAACACAAGCTGCTTTAATTATTTTCGCCACCTGAAATTTTTAAATAATTAGGTTCAGAATATTCTAGCTAACAAATGGTTGCTTTGACCACACTTTCAAATGAACAATTATTTAAAATGAGGGGATGACATTTTCACGATAAAAAAGAAAATGCTCAGCCGAAACCGGTTTGGCTCAGCGGTAGAGCGTCGGTCTGCGGACTGAAAGGCCCCAGGTTCGATTCCGGTCAAGGACGTGTACATTGGTTGTGGGCGCATCCCCAGTGGGGCGTGTGCAAGAGGCAGCCGGTCAATGTTTCTCTCTCATCAATGTTTCTAGCTCTCTGTCCCTCTCCCTTCCTCTCTGTAAAAAAAAATCAATAAAATATTTTTTTTAAAAAGAAAATGCTCAAAAAACACAGGAATAGGAGGAAATGGCCTCAATCTGATAAAGCCCATCTTATGAAAACTCATAGCCAACAGCATACTTAATGGTAAAAGACTGAATGCTTTTCTCTAAGAGCAGGAACAAGACATGGACATCTGCCTCCACCACTTCTATTCAATATTGTTCTAGAGGCACTAGTGTGGGCAATTAGACAAGAAAAAATAAAAGACATTCGGACCTAAAAAGTAAAATTACATCTACTTGCAGATGACATAATCTTATATGGAGAAAATGCTAAGGGGTCCACTAAAATGAGATACAAATTTTGTGACACCCAATAGAAATCTGTGTTTCCAAGGTTTCCCAAAATGCAATGGCTTTCTTCAAACTTTATTTTTATCCTCACACTTTTTCCTCCACTCATGGCAAAAACAGACCAACTCCCTTTTATTTTATATAACTTCCCAGGCATTCCCTCCATTCCATCCCTCCCTGAAGGTTTGCTCCAGTAATTATCATCTTTTACCTGCCCACCAAGACCCTTGTTCCTACTTCTCTGGATCCCCGGGTTCGTTTCTCCCTCCTGCACTCCCTTCTAAATCATGCTACTTTCCTGCTCAGTATTTTAAAATACCTCCCTACTGCCGAAACCGGTTTGGCTCAGTGGATAGAGCGTTGGCCTGCGGACTCAAGGGTCCTGGGTTTGATTCCAGTCAAGAGCATGTACATTGGTTGCGGGCACAACCCCGGTGGGGTGGGGTGCAAGAGGTGGCTGCTCAATGTTTCTCTCTCATTGATGTTTCTGACTCTCTATTCCTCTCCCTTTCTCTCTGTAAAAAGTCAATAAAATACATTTTTTAAAAAGTGTAGGGTTTAAGAGTTAGATCTGAGGGGCTCTGAATAAAGGTGTAAAGCCTCCAGGCAACATGAAAGAATTTGTTTGTCCTTCTCCCTTTTAAAAAATGAAGTCCAGGTTGCGGGCTCCAGTTGCAGACTAGATCCCAAGTGGTGGCATGCTGGGGGCGGTCCATGGATGCTTCACTCTCCCATCAATGTTTCTCTCTCTCTTAAAAAAAATCAATAAGCCGAGACCGGTTTGGCTCAATGGATAGAGCGTTGGCTTGGGGACTGAATAAAAATGAAGTCTTGGTTAATCATTAAACCAATCATGATATCTTGAGGGGTTAAGGTGGCCTATACCTCCGTTTCCATCCAAACTGCTCCCTGTTTTCTTCTCCTGCTACCCTCTCAAATAGAATACTCCCCTACTGGGGGGAGGCATTCTTCTTTCTTTTATTGTTTGAGCATTATAAATAGTAGTACCTATGTCTCCTTCCCCTACCTCCCCCCCCACACCCCGTATCCATTGGTTATGTTTATCTGCATGCATACAAGTCCTTCGGTGAGGCATTCTTCTTAAAAGCACTTTCTAGCTCAGAGCTAGCAACTTTGTCCTCTACAGTAATGCCAACCACAGTCCAAGCCTCCTCATACCCATGCTCCTGATCAAGACACATTAATTTGTGTACTTTGCCAGTTCCAACTCGGGCCCCCCCCATCCCCCCACCATGTGCACCACAGGCCCGCTTCCTATCCTGTCAGCCTCGTTTGCCTAACCTCTAGGCAAACTCCTAGCCTGAGTCCTCCTTTCCACCCTCGCCTAATTCGCTGGATCATCACTGCCCAGATGCTGGTGGCACCAGGGACCTCAAAAGCGCCAATGCCCCAACCAGAGGAGCTGACCGGCTCAGGGCTGGGGAGTGTGTGGGCGTGTGAGTGTAGGTGTTGTGTGTGGAAGAAACCAACTGTCCACCCGGGTGTCCACCCGCCGGAAATGCCCATCACGCCCGCCTAAGAAAGCGAGGATCAGCTCCCCATTGCAACCCCGCAAGCAGCACTCAGGATTGTGGACCTCAGAAGGAGCACGGCTCCACCCTGGGTCTGGACTCAGGGGTCGCCCCGACCCCCCCCAATAGCACAGCACCCCCCGCCTCGGGCGGTGGTAGGCCCCACTGCGACGTCACCCATTGTTTACAAATCAGCTGGAGCCGGTAGGATTCCGCCTGCCGCGGTGCACGGCGCGGCACGAGCGCCCGTGGGTCCCCGGCTTCCCTGGGCGCCCCGGCCCCAGCCCGGTCCCAGCCCCGGCTTCGGCCTCAGCACCGCGCCCGGCTCCGCCGCGGCCCCCGGAGCCGCCAGCGACGCCCGCAGAGTCCCCGGCGCCGGGGCGGGGGGCCATGCCGTGCCGGCGGGAGGAGGAAGAGGAAGCCGGCGAGGAAGCGGAGGCGGAGGAGGAGGAGGAGGAGCGGGGCGGCTTCCTCCTGCTGGAGCGGCCGGTGACGCGGGGCGGCTCGGGCGAGGTGGACCGCCTGGTGGCCCAGATCGGCGAGACGCTGCAGCTGGACGCGGGGCCGGACCGCCCAGCTTCCCCGTGCGCGCCCCCCGCGCCGCCGCCGCCGCTGCAGCCCCCGCGGCCCCCGGCGGACAAGGCCCGGCCCCCGGACCGGCCGCTGCCGCCGCCCGCGCCGCCGGGGGCCCTGCGCTGCGCCCTCGGGGAGCGCGGCCGCGTGCGGGGCCGGGCTGCGCCCTACTTCGTGGCTGAGCTCGCCGCCGGCCCCAGCGCGCTGTCCCCGCTGTCCCCGCACCCCGGCCTGGATGGGCCTTCCAGAGCCGACAAGCGGGGCGCCCCAAAGCAGCCTCTGTCGGGCCCGTGCCGGCGGGGATGGCTGCGGGGCGCCGCCGCCCCCCGCCGCCTGCAGCAGCGGCGCGGGCCGCAGCCGGAAGCCCGCCCCGGCGGCGACGACGACCCGCACCGGCTCCTGCAGCAGCTGGTGCTCTCGGGGAACCTCATCAAGGAGGCCGTGCGGAGGCTGCACTCGCGGCGGCTGCAGCTGCACCCGAAGCTCCCCCCGCTCCCGAGGCCGCCGGTGGCCGCCGCGCACGAGCCCCCCTCGCCCCGCAGCCCCCGCGCGTCTGGCGGCGCCCCGGGCGCGGCGGGGAGGAGGGCGCCGCTCCGGCCCGGCGACGGCGTCCGGGTGCCCGGCAGCTGACACCCGCGGAGTGGACACTGGGCCGGCCTCTGCCTGGAGGACAAGGGACCCTCCTGAGGGCTGCATCTCTCATCAGACCGGTGCACTGCCGCTCTGGGAAGCGGGGAAAGAAGCTAATCAAGACGTGGAATCGAAAAAGACGCGAATGTTTTCGTGGGGAACTGAGGTCAAGGCCCCGTTTTAAAAAAAAATAAGGGGGGGGGGGGGGACTCGGTTGGCCTTATATACGGCAGATTGCAGAACGCACCCCAAGCTCACAATCCACTGGACTCTTTACTTTTTTTTTTTTTTTTTTTGGCATATGAAAATTTATTACTACTGTGATTTCACCATCAAAACTTAGGATCTTGGTCTTTCCTTCTTGCCTTTGTATAAGGCCAAAAGAGACGCATTGGCTACGTTGACAACCTTAAAGCGAACTCCAGGAATGTCACCAACAGCATGACCTTTGTGACCAAATCCAGCAACCAGAACTTCGTCGTTTTCCTCAATGAAATTCAAACAGCCATCATTGGGTACAAAGGCTGGATTTTTTTTGCCATTCTTGATCAGCTGGACCCTGACACACTTCCTGATAGCGGAATTTGGCTGTTTGGCTTCAACCCCTACTTTTTCCAGCACAATCCCCTTTGCATGGGAAGCGCCTCCAAAAGGGTTGACCTTCAGGGCCAAACGGACCTTCTTGAACTGTTTGTCATGCCACTTCTGATCCCGCTGGTGGCTCCGGAGCTTCCGGGCAGTACGGAGACCAGGACACTGGCCCTCCTGCTGGCGCCACGGGCCTGAGAGAAAGAGCTGGACTCCTTGCTTTTGCTGTGACCATTCTTGGAGGCACCGGGGGCAGCTCCACGCACACCCCTCACCCTCCATCCATCCCAGCAGCGGTCCTGCGGCCACAGCTCACGCATCTCGGGACCGCCTCTCGCCCTAAGGATGAGGATGGCCCCCGTTACTTGTTTGACCTTTCCAGGGTTGGTTCCTGATTCACCTTTTTGGGGAATGGGGGGGGGGGGGGGGGAGGGAACATGAATAGGCGATCATTTCAAGGAGTACCTCAAACTGCCAGACTTGAAAATGTATCACATTTTTAAAAAAAACAAAACATGTTCTGTCTGTTGGGGTGCTGATTCTTAAAAAACACTCGGTACCATGAAAGGGCCTTTTCTCTGGCCCCCTGCTTTGCAACTGGCTGCGTTCCCGAGTGGAAGGGAGAGCCGCAGGGGCGTGCCCTGGGTGGGGATGTGCCCAGGGTGCGGACAGGAGGTGGGGCAGGTGGTGAAGTGCTGGAGTCTCCTGGGGACAAGCGCACCGCCGCTCGCCGCCACCGAGGGGGGTGGGCGGTAGAGAGGCGGGGGTGTGGGCACCGGGGCGTCCCGCCCGCAAGCCTGGCTTTTATGGAAACTGTCCAGAGAGTGTGGCCTCGGGTCCCTCCTCTCCCCCCTCAGCTCTGCTGTCCTATTCAAGAGGGCCGCCCTGATGCTCTCCGGGGGCCTGGCTGGGGGCTGGGAGATGCCACGTGACGGGCACTCCAGGGACACTCGGCCTCGCACAGAGCTTATAATGGGCTCTCTGGGGCCGTTTGTAATAACAGCTGCAATTCCCTGGGTGGATGGAGTGGATTTCCTCCCTCCGCCCCTCCCCCAGCCGTGCCAGATCGCTTTTGTACGTGAAGGAAACCGAGTAGAAAATGTGTGTGACCCTCCAACATGGAGAAGCTGCAGGCTTTGCCAGGGTGAGCCGCGATGAAATGGTTTGAAACACGCTGTTCACTCACTCGGAGGGGCTTAAGGCCGTTTAGCTGGTGTTTTATTAGTTTTTTGTAAGGTTCAATGGCTTGTCCATCATCCAGATGTGGCTGTTGACCTAATCTGCACTTCGTACCGGAGTGTCTGGAATCGTGGCTGTCCTGATTACAGGATTTTAACTTAACTGAAATATCTATTTGTTAATAAATGCGTTGCGTTTCATGTCTGGTTTTGTTTTGTACTTGCCGTCCAGAACACATTTCTCTGCTCTTCATAAACATGAAAACACTTGAAATCCCTCTCAGCCTCGCTCTCGGATGGTAATTAGAGAGCCTTTGTGTCTGAACAGCTCACTAGTTAGACAGGGTCTGCGCGCCTGGGTGCGTATTGGTGCTGGCACGAAATTAAATGGGAGTGAGGTCAGGTTTGGACCAATCCCTCTCACCAAAACCCCAGACCCTTGGAGATACTAATCCATCAGGGACACGTTTTACAAAGCTGCTTCTGGCTGTCTTAGCAAAGATCAGTCACTGCAGATGGGGAGGCTTATTCCTTTTTTTTCCCTCTCTTCCCCCTGTGGTCATTCATCACGTGGACCTGAGCAGCTCCTGTTGAGGGGTTGCTCGGGATGCCAGCCTGTGGCGGGAAAGCTGGCCGAGGGTGTATTCACGTATTGCTCTCTCTGCCCTTGGCATGTTCGCTGCCCTTCTCTCCCTAAGAAGTGACGTCATAGCCCATCTCTGTCCCTCCAGTTTTGAGTTACCGAAGTCTGTCTCCTAAAGGAAGGTTCAAGTTCACGTACTCAATGGGGACCTTGGACAAGTTGCTCAGCGGTGGGCTTCCCCTTCCTCCCCTGTACAGCAGCTGAGAAGTGAGCTGAGGGAAGGGGTTCATGGTGACTGGCACATACTAGAGATAAACAGTCTTTGGTCCCTACCCCTTCTTTCCCAGGACACTCCCTAAGGGGCTAAGGGACCCTCTGATTCTCAAGAATCAAGGTCATCCAATAATTCCAAAAGTTCCTTCTGGATCCATGAGAATCCTTCCTAACTCCCTTTTGCACTCGGCGCCTGTTGTCTATACTTGCCCATTCTCTCACATGCACAGACCCTGAGGGTCTCTGAGAACCTTCTGAGAAGTGCTTGGGGGACACACCACGCTGGCCATTGCCCACTACTTGCCCAGAAGGAGTTGTAGGGGGCTCGGTCCAGTGCCGCCCAGCACGGGGAGGGTGATTGTGTGGCTCTCACACACACTGAGGAAGGAGGCCTCCAACAGTGCATCGGTTTGTCACCTCTGGGCACTGAGCAACAGGGGGAAGTGGTCAGGTGCCGGCTTGCCCTGGCATGGGGGTAGCCCTGAGTCCTTGGCCTGCTTCCTAGCTGGGGTGGGATTTCCCAGAGGTCAAGGGTTAGGAGCAATCCAGGGCCAAAGTGGCCGTGATTCGATGTCACTGTGAAGTCATGTCAGAGTCCAGAACCCAGGCCTCTTTCCAATAGCCTGATATTATCATACATAGTTCAATGCCGCTCACTGCACAACTCCACACACACACTACCACGTGAGGGACACCCTGCAGTTGTCCAACATGGTGGCTCTGCCATAGAACATGGAAAACCATGTCCCACACCCCGAGGCTGAGCTAGGGAAAGCTGTAACCATTTTCTTTCATCGTGGTCAGCATCCTATGAAGACAAGTTGGCCACAGAAAATGGCTGGGTGAGATAAAAGGCCAACGCTATCCACTCAACGAAAAACACAACATAAACAAAGAAACCAGCAAATCACAAGGGATTTGGAGAAAAGAATGCCACACTTGACAGAGAACTCCAGAGGCTGCTACCCCAGGATTCCATTCTAAATTAGGCCTACATGCTACAATATTTGGATTCGGGTTTTACCCTGTCTTGCTCTTTCCTTTTTCAGCTCGAAAGCAGAAACATGGAGCGACGATCAGACGCCACTTTCCTATGCAGCAAAGTCTGTATTGAACCCTGTGATCCCTTCCTTCCAATCAGGAAAGAGTTACCCTGGCAACCAAATTACTAACTCACTCAATTAGCTCCCCCCTCTTCCACCCGTGCTCAGTAATCACAGAATGTCAGCCCTGGGAGGCGCAGCCTTCGGTCGCCTAGTGCTAGCCTCGCTTAGAGATGGAAGCGCAGAGGTGTTTCCACCCTGAGGTGCAGTCCATGTGAACGCCGTGAAGGCGAGGGCAGGCGAAGGGGCTAAAACTCTCCCACGCAGCACTTCCTCCTGGTTTTCCATCCATAGTTAAAGGAGAACAGGTGACCTGCCTTTACCAGTGTTTCCCAGGAGGCATAATAGAGGGGTGTAGACTCTGCAAGCAGCCCTCTATTGCTAGCCCAGTGGTTCAGCACAGGGCCCTTCACCTCAAGGATCCCAATGAACTCATCTGCAAAATGGGGAATAAAAATAAAGCCTACTGCCCTGACCAGGTAGCTCAGTTGGTTAGAGCATCATCAGGTTGCAGGTTCAATCCCGGTCAAGGCACATGCAAGAAGCAACTGCTCGGCTGGGGTGGCTCAGGGGGTTGAGCACCGGTTCAGGCATCCAAAGGTTGCCAGTTCTATTCCCTGTCATGGCACATGCCCAGGTTGTGGACTCCTTCCTCGGTGGTGGTGGTGGTGGTCGTGGTGGTGGGGAGTGTACAAAGGACAGCCGATTGATGATTCTCTCTCATCATTGATATTTCTCCCTCTCACTTCTGCTTTGAAATCAATAAAAATATATAATATGTGTGTGTGTGTGTGTGTGTGTGTGTGTGTGTGTGTGTAATTTTTAAGAGAAAAAAAAAGAATACAGCCTACCTTGAAGAATTGGGTGAAGATTAAATTAGATAATGTCAAATTAGACAATGTATGAGAAACAAATAGCAAGCATTCAAATAATAAAAGATCATTCCTGGAAGCTATTGCATAAGAATACTTTAAGTCCTGCCTCTTAATGAATTCTTCGATCTGTTTCCTCTGAAGGTCAGACCAGTTTCTTAAGTCTACCTCCCTGTTGTATAGGTAAGCACTCAGGAACATGCATGGGAAGGTTTAATCAGTCAGTTGAGAAGAGGTTTAATCACAAAAGGATGGAGGTCCCCTTCAAGCCAAACCTTGAAAGCAGCTCGGGATTGGGACTGGTGGGAGAGGGGCAGCAGGAATATTACAAAGGGGAGGGGAGTGGCAAGGATAGCCTGGAGCCCCAGCCCTTAGCTCCTCTATTTCCCCTTGGAAATCCATCCCCTTCTATTCAAAGTCAGGGCTCACCTGAAGCTCTGCATGCCGGCCCTGTCCACTCCCTCTATAGTTTGTACTGTGAAAGTCATGCAATTTTTTTTGCAGAAAGGGACCTTCAAATTCATTTTGTCCTCACTCTTCATTTTATTTACAGTCTTTATAGGTTTATCTCAAGAGCTCATATGCGAGTGTCTCCTTTTCCCCAAGAGATTATATATTCTTTGATGGCAGAGGAGTGACAAAATGAAGAGGATGTTTTAGGTAGATTATCAGGGGACACAGCATGGGGGGTGGACAAAGGTTAAGGTCAGCCAGATCAGTTGGATGGCTGTTAAAACACCCAGGCACCAGGTGATAAGGGTCTGGGGAGGATGGGTACGGGGGCAGAAAGAGGAAAATAGAAGATACACATTCTGAAAAGAAACGGTAGGCCTCTGGAGCCAGACTGCCTCCGTCACAGTCCTGGCTCTTTAAAGCTCTTTCCTGTGACGCTGGGCAGGTCACTTCATCTGTCTAACCCCACGCTGCTCATCCATGAGGTCTGATAATAAAGTCCCTGTCTCCTAGGGTTGTGAAGATTCATTGAGCTAATTCTAGTCAAAATGCTAGGTCACTGCCTGCAATGTAGCTGCATTTAGTAACAACGCTGGGTATTGGCATCTAATAAATATTTGCAGAGCAAACAGAGTGGGCAATTTCAACAGAGTTGTGGAAGCTAAGGGTGTGTGTGTGGGAGGGGGGGGGGTGCTTGGGGCAGAGGTGATGAGTTGTGGTGCTTAGAAGTTCAAAGAGGATGGAAAAGGAGGGACAGCAGCTAAAAAGGGAAAGCAGGGCCAATGGCAGAATTTACTCAGTCAGGAGACACCTATTCTTGTCTGACTGTGGATGAGAAATGGAAGGGAAGATGCTAAAGGACCAGGCTCCTTGAGGCAGGAAGGAATAGGGTTCCCTGGGCTGGGCAGGTTTGAAAGGCAGGGTTCAGCCCT